GTCTTGTTCCTGTTCTTAGGGGAAATGGTGTTAGTTTTTGTCCATTGAGTATGATGCTGGCTGTGTATGCCCTACATCTTGCCCCAGGGTAAGGGCTACGCCCTCCGTCTTGCCTTGGCCATGTGCTCGGCAAGGCTTCTTCCCGGAAGCCTGAGCCTCTGCTGGCCACACCCAGGACTTCTTTGAACTAACCAATGACAATCAAGGGAAGTCGCCATAGATATGACCACATCCTGTGTGACAAGACACTGACTTGCGCCTGGCCAATCGGCAGGGCCCACAGTCCTTTCTCCTCCCCTTGCTCCAACCCCCTATAAAACCTCTTTCCACACAGAGTTCTCTCTCTCGGCCACTTGGCTTGCCGTTGCATCGGTGAGTGTGGTCGGGGAGCCGAACTAGTTCGAATAAAGACTCTGCTTTTGCATCGGACTCGGCTGGCTCCCTGTTGGGCTTTTGGGGATCTTGAAATCTGGGCATAACAATAGGCAGCTAGCTTCCTAGCTTGAGACCTAACTGTGTTCTCTTCAGGCAGGTCTGGCCTGTCTGCCAAGTGGAGAGTCTGGGCAAGAGGAAAAGACGTTGGCTTGAGGAGTTGAAGCGCCTCCGGGAAACCTCATCCCGGGGAAGAGGAGGCGCACAGTGTTTGCCCGAGTTCCAGTGCCTCAGCGTCCAAGGGAAGTGAACCTGCTGAGTGGTCCCAGGCATCCTACCCCGTCCTCTGTCCTTCCCTCACTCCTTCCCGAAACACTAGACCCGCATACAGGGCTGAAGGTTCCCTGGCTGCTTCTCTATCTCCCACCTGGAAGCCTACTTTGGCTTCTGCTTCTTGCAGGACCTGGACTGGCACAGAGGCTTTGCCCAGCACCTTCCCACTTGTTACAGGCCACCAGGCATATTGAGAGAGGGGGGCCTTGGTGCCTGGTGGCTGCTGGCTTGTTTTAAAACATATTGGACTCCACTTTCAACCCAGGGACCACGGGACACACCTGGAGGCCCTTTGCAGAAGGATGAGATACCCAATAAGCAGGTGGGGCAGGATCTCCTAAAACTCGGGCTATGGCTGTGTTATGTGACACCACTGGTGGCCATGGGCTGGCGAGCTGATGAGCCCTGGAAAAACTGAGGTTATAAACACACAATGCAAATATCACAGTGAATCAATCATAATTGCTACCATAAGTAAGACAAACCCCATGTTTTCGCTTCCATAGCCAGATTATACTCACGTTGTATTCATAAATTAGGTAAAATGATAGTAAACACATTTACTGCTTGCCATATGCCAGACGCCATACTAAACTCTTCATTTGATAACCCTAAGGCAGACCATTATCCACGCTCCATTACCCTCTCCTTCTATGCTAATAAAACCTTGCTTTTGTTTGCGACAACCATGTGCCAGCCCCAGGCGATGGCTTATGTCACGCAATCATGACGCTGTTGTTCTCTGTAGTCCTGGCGTCTTTAGACTGAGGGGTGTCCACACAGCCCACTTCTGTCCAGCAGACCTACGCAGGAGTCGGCCAGGATGGGGGTGGGCGCTGGGTTATGGAACATGCTTCTCCTGGAAGACTACAGGGCAAAATCCCTCACCCTCTAGGGCAGCGGTTCTCAACCTGTGGGTCACGACCCCTTTGGGGGTCGAATGACCCTTTCACAGGGGTCGCCTAAGACCATCGGAAAACACATATGTAATTACATATTGTTTTTGTGATTAATCACTATGCTTTAATTATGTTGTAACAATGAAAATACATCCTGCATAGCAGATATTTACATTACGATTCATAACAGTAGCAAAATGACAGTTATGAAGTAGCCACGAAAATAATTTTATGGTTGGGGGTCACCACAACATGAGGGACTGTATTAAAGGGTCGCGGCATGAGGAAGGTTGAGAACCACTGCTCTAGGTCTTTGCTTGAACATCATCTTCCCGTAAGACCTATCCTGAACACCCTGTTTAAAACTGTATACCCTGCCACAGAGTAGGCACTCAACATATCTTTTTTCTCTTTGAGTGAACACATAAAAACAAAGTAGGTAAAGTCACTGGAGGAAACGCAGAACAGCAAGCACAGATATCCTGGGACACACACACGCCTGCCATGTGTGGTGAATAGGCCAGCGTGACAGATGGTGTGACAGAGGGGAGGAGATGAGAGACGGAGGGTGTTGGCCGAGAGCCTGATCACACCAGAGCCTGCAGGTCATAGTAAAGCCTTTGGCCCCTGTGCCACGCCAGCACGACCAAGGGTGATCCCGAGTTGGGGGGGGGCGGTGAAAGGATTAAGGAAAGACAGACATAAGAGTAATAGCTGGGTCTCGGTGGGACGCTGCCTCCCTGATGAGGAGACGACAGCACCCACAAGCCGTGTCTTTATTTTATAGCAGATGTCATGAGGCAAAGTAGAGGCGTGATCACATTGTTTACAGCATTCTCATGAGTTTCAACCTCACTCAACTACATGCACCTGAACTCTATCACAAGGTATGTGGGCCTACGTGTTCGGGCCATAGGTTCAAGCTCACAACCACAGCCGTTGGCTATGATTGTGCTGGGAGGGCCCTGCCCTCCAGCTGGGACTTGCACGTGGCAATGAGAGGACCCTGTCCTTTCATTAGTCCGAGGCCTGAACCTGGCCAAAACACCGTAACCGCGCCCCACAGGCCCCTGCTCTGGGTGCGCTGGGGTGCTGAGGGGGAGGAGGGCAGTCTCTGACTTGCATCTGGAATCACCATGGTGCTGCTGCTGAGACACACTGGAGTGGGCAATGTAGACACAGGGAGAAGAGGTAGGGGGTGACTGCGACAATCCAAGCCAGTGGTGGTGGTAGCTAGGTCCATGGTGGTGGCAGAGAGAAGTGTCAAGGTTCTGTATATATATTTTAAAGGTATAGTCAGTAAGATTTGCTCACAGATTGGGTGTAGATTGGGAGAGGGAGGAAGAAATGGGGCATGACATCAAGGTTTTTGCCCGAGAAACTAGAAGCAAGGGGATTGTGAGGACTTCAGGAAAACCGGAGTTTGGAGGTAAAATCAGGCACTCGGTTTTGAACATGTTTGAGTTTGAGATGCCTATTGTACATTCCAGTGGAGACAGTGAGTGTTCAGATGGATATGCAGCAATCGATTTTATGGTAGAAGCCCAGGCCAGGGATATAGGTTGTATTTAAAGCTCTGAGACTGGATGGGTTCACCCAAGACATGAGTGTGGGCTAAAAAGAAGAGAAGAAAAGAGATGTTGAAGTGCAAGGATGAGTCCTGGGCATTCCCCTTGTGAGGATGCCAACACGTGCTAGGCACGGCCTTCTTCGTGTGCAGGCGCACATTTACCCAAATACAAATGTTGCAAGATCAACGTTCTCAACCTGACTTGATAGACGTGGACCCTGTTGCACAGTGAAAATACACCTGCCCAAAGGCACACAGATGGTCAAGGGCTGCTGTCTATCTGACTTCTCCAGTGAATAAACCTTTGAGTTCATTTCCTCTAGCACCTTAACTTACAATCTTGGCCTCACCCTTCCCGATCCAAATCAGCCTTTCATTTCTGTTTTCACCTGAAGCTTCAGTACAGACCATCCTAATCCTTTACCTTGAACTTTCCCTACTGTATCCAAATAGGATTTCCTGCCACGAGGCTCTCCCAATTCTAATCCACTCCTTACCTTCATGAAGAGAAAGCAGATTGTGCCACCTTCCTGCTCAGTCCTTCTATGCATCCCTCGTTACCTGCCAAGCTGTAACCCAGCTTCTTGAGCTTGGTTAAAGGAGCCTTCGCAATCTGGCTCCCACCAGCTTTTCCGGTCTCCTCTCCTGCTAGTCTCTCCGCAGCCCCACTTCCCATATCAGTCACTTTTCTGAAATTGAATCTCTTATTGAGATCCACCACACTCTTCCACAAACTGAGTTTCACACGCTGTTCCCTTTTCGTGCCCACACTGCTTGCCCCCCCCGGGACAATATTGACTAGAAGACATGATGGTGGGCACTGTGTCTTGTTCCACATATCGAAGTCAAGCGTTCAACTGTTCACCATGAGGTAGATATTTGTTGTAGGATTTTTAAAACTTTACTTATTTATTATTTATTTTTAAAATATATTTTATTGATTTTTTACAGAGAGGAAGGGAGAAGGAGAGAGAGATAGAAACATCAATGATGAGAGAGACTCATTTGATTGGCTTCCTCCTGCACACCCCCTACTGGGGATCGAGCCTGCAACTCAGGCATGTGCCCTGACTGGGAATTGAACTGTGACTTCCTGGTTGACGTTCAACCACTGAGCCATAGTTAGGCATGTTGTAGGTCTTTTTTTTTTTACATTTCCTGCATCAGGTTAAGGGAAGCCCAGCTTCTTCCCTTCTTTTTGTAGTTGCTAAGATTCTATTGTTGTTTTATCAGGAATGGATATCAAATTTTATCGATATGTGTTCCTACATCTCTTTGGTATCAGACTTTCTCTCCTTTAATCAATCATCAATTTACTTTCTACTGTTAAATTAACTTTATATTTCCTGGATAAGCCAGCATGACCTTCACACGTCATCCTTTCTTTATGCATATGTTTCCGGATTTGACTCACTACTATTTTGTTCAGCACATGGCCCTACAATCTGTGCAGGGGCCCAAAGGGAGCTCTTTTTGGGAAGGTGACCAAAAGCAACCTGATGATTAGGAAAAAAGTTTAATTTCTAATTCTATCTGGGGTTGGGGCCCTGAATGGCTATTGAGGACTGGGGGTCAGGGGATCTCTGAAGCTGTGTATTTCTATAGGAAAATCAAAGTTCCCTTATCCATAAGTTCCATACTCGGTACAAAGTTTCGGTACATATTAAAACGAGAAATGATCAAAGCAGGTCTTACTAATTGTTATAATTGAAAAGTTTTACTAGCAATGAAACAAAAGCCTGCTCTTCATAAGTAACCCTACTGAATGTTTAGTCTGACAGTCCATCTTACATAAGCATTGAATAGGAAGGAAAGGCAGTCTCTCTCCCGAAGGCCCCAGACACCCAACAGGAAGGCTCCTATATCATGTCCACGAACGACAGCGTGTCCGTGGCCTTCGTGAGGCCCAGGCTGAGGAGGACGGTCTTTTCCAGTTCCAAGTAGCTCTCGTAGTCCATCTTCAAATCAGCCTCCAGCTGATCTTTCCCCTTCTGATGCGGTTTCTAGGGAGGAGAAAGGCAAGTTATTCCTGTAAGACACTGACAGCTAGAAGTACCAGAGGAGGAGAAGGGCCCGCTTTTGAATAGCCAGCCTGGCTGCTCCAGAGGGGTCTGTGGGAGGACTGGGGCTGGGGCGAGGGGAGGGCATCTCTTGCCCCTTCAGCTTCTTTCTGCAGATGTTGCCTCATCCAGGTTAGAAGGTCCTTGGGCACTTTTGAGCCCAGCTTCTTCCCCAGGGTCTCCTCGGCACCCTCACTCTGCCACCAGTAGGAGTTCATTGCCCTTGGGCCCTCTCTCCACCCTCCTCAGAGCTGTTTAAGTCAATCTCTTGCCCATAGACCAGGGGCGGGCAAACTTTTTGACTCGAGGCCACATTGGGTTCTCAAACTGGACCGGAGGGCCGGAACAAAAGCATGGATGGAGTGGGTGTGTGAACTAATATAAATTCAAAGTAAACATCATTACATAAAAGGGTACGGTCTTTTTTTTCAATAGTTTTATTCATTTCCGGCCCGCGGACCGTAGTTTGCCCACGGCTGCCCTAGACCATCCAGCCTCAGGAGTCTAGGCCCTCGTCTCTGGGTTCCCCAAACTCTCCCTACATGTGCCGCTCTGGTTGCCTGGTAATTCCTGGCCTTTGGGTTTCTCTGGCTCAGCAAGCCTCCTGCCAGGTGTGAGAGGCATCGTCCCTCCTGGCCAGCAGCCCATCTCTCACCGAGCCCAGTGTCGCAGAGGTGGGGAGGGGGGGAATGTGTAGCTCTCTGCCACCTCTCTCCAAAGAACATGCCCTCTTTCAGGCTCCTCCCCTTACGTTGTCTGGAGTGTGGGTGACATGAGATGGCAGAATTCCCTTCTAAGCCCCATACAGATGGCATAGCTTCTGGATCACATGGGAACTGCTACTTGCCCCAACTTTGGGTCTCCAGCTGAAATTCCAGTTAGGAAATATCCCATTTCATGTGCTGCTTGAGCTGTAACTACTGTTCTTTGTCAAGAAATGAACTGTATCCAGACTCGATGTTTCCAAGCAGGTGGGTGCATGATTTCCTCCGGACCCATGGGCTGCAGTGCACAGCCTGATCCCTGGCACCTGGGCGCGCTCAGAAAGACCAGCCTCGTGGGATGGAAGTGTGACGGTCTTCTGCCCCCTGAAATAGTACTAGCACTTTCTATGTGCCAGTTACTGGCTAAGTGCTGTACACATTTTAACCCATTCAATCCTCACTGCAAGCCTCTGAGGTAGTTACAGTTTGTTTCCATTTTCCCTGTTATCAGCTGTTGCTTATGAAAAGGTATTTCTGCTGAACATTAGTTGTTTATCCTTGGCGACCTTTGCACCTTCTAAATGGAGGTGCAAAGGAGCCCTTTAAAATTCATTCACTTAGCCACCGTCCAGTCCAGAGAACATCTGAGAAGTGGTAGCTCTACTTAAAAAAGGGCACGATGTCAAATGGAAATAAAGTCACAGGAAGGAGTTGGAAACGTGTTGGAAACTCAAATGCATGATACTAAGATTATTATAACATTCAGGTGCTTTAAAAGTATTTCACAGGCAAATTATTTTTGCATTATCCACAATTCTACTGATGTGGATAATTAGGGGCTGTTGCTATGGTATTTAAACCCTCATAATAATTGGAGATCATATCTGGCATAGGGAAAGGGTGGCAGCTTATGTCCCACAACAAAATTTCAACCAATATTTGTGAATGCACACACAAACACACACACAAACACACACAAACACACACACAAACACACACAAACACACACACAAACACACACAAACACACACACCAACACACACAAACACACACAAACACACACAAACACACACACAAATACACACACACAAACACAAACACACACAAACACACACACACACACAACCAAGAGCATTTGTTTTTTGGCTGGGGAGAACAATGAGAAGTTAGTTAGTCGGTATTCTTTTATACCTTGTCACCACTAAACAATTTTTGAAATGAGGCCCTCTGCTTTGATTACACGAATTAATATCTATCAATAAGTGACCATGTTAATCCAGTGATTTTCAACTGGTGTGCTACAGTAATTTTTAAAACATGCAATACTTGACTATTTAGTCAGGGGCACTGACCTCTTTTCCCTTAGATTATCAAATTAAAAAAAACGACAACAGCCTGGCTGGTGTCAATCATTGTATGTATAGATGGTATTTAGACACCTTTGCATCTAAAAGACTTGGATGTTATAGAGATTTCAGAAACTTCCATTAGGTAGAATCTTACAAGGTGTCCAACAATAGTTGCTTACTCATGGTAAGCTAGGAAATCGGAGAAATTTCCTCTTGACTCTCATGAGAATGAGAGAAGAACGTGAAAAGGCATACTTTTCCTATATAAATCGTGGAATAAGCCAAACACACATATTTCCACTGGGGTTAGAGAGAAATCAACTTTTGTTTCTGAAATTTAACTTACAACTTTTTTCTTCTCCCTCTCCAGCGCCATTTCCTTCCTTTCTTGTTCACGGATTTTCTTGCGTTGCTCCATATATTCCAGGTGCTTGACTTCTCTTTCAAAGTAATGGTTTATACTTGATGCCTGTTAGAAACACAGGCCTTCAAGAGAGGAGCCCCCACCGACACCCTGCTCCCACTATGTTTTTTACAAGGGCCTGGAAGAGTTCCTGCTGCCTATAACTCACCAGGTATATTCCCTGCTTTGGGACACTGCCCACGGGCCCACTTCCAGAGAAGCTAGCTCAATTGGGGGGCTACTGTGCTAAGTTTTAGGACCCTGCACATTACAGTATTCCAGGAAAGGAGTGAGGTTGGAAGGAGAGAGCAGCAAAAATTGTTTACAATTTTGTAGAACAAAAATTCGAGGATTGCTTTTTTCCTTCTTCTTTCCTTCTCACTTCTAACACCGAGGAAAGTTTCATATCATCAACTGAACCTGGAGATCCCAGATGAGGGTATCAATGAAGATCCTAAAGTGCCTGGGAGCAGAGTACTTGGGCCCCTGGGGGGTTTGGCATGTAGGCATAGAATAGAAACAGGAAAATAGACCAGGTGACCAGGGGAGGAAAAGCTTCTTGTCTGGCATTAATGAGGTCGATGTTGTTGGGACTTGTAACAGATTGCAGTCTATATATCTAACGTTCGGTGTATGTGTACTTACATATTTCTACTTATTGATCTTTTCATAACCTCCTTATTATTAGCATTGCCTGCAGCCCTCGGGTGGTGGGGATGGAGGCGGGAGGGGGGGCGGCGGGCAGAATATTGCCACTTCAGACACGCTGCTGGCAGGACACCAGCTGGGGGAGGGGACGGGGTGGTGGGCAATGGGAAGAGGCATGCAGACGTCACATGTGCGCTCTGGCACGGGCGTCCCTGAAGGAAGGGTCCGGTGCTTCGGTTACAGCCCCCAAACAGCAGCTTCTGCTTGTGAATCCTCAAAGTGATTGTCCCCTGAACCTGGGTTCTATTGACTTTGGCCTCCCTCTCATTCCATTTTTGTTTCTTTTTCTAGCTTCAAACTATTTAACTCACGAAGCAGAAATGCGTCCCCTTGTTTTTGACGGCTCTCTTATAGCGTGAAAATGCTGTCATTTCTGAACACACTTTTAAGACATGCCACAGTGATACTCCGTCACATAAACCCTCAAAGCCCAAAGGTACTGACCTCATTGGTGGAAGGGTGACTCAGCGTCCAAGGGATCTCTAATATATGCAGCGTCCCATAGTAATCACCCACGGCTATGAATTGCTGCTTCGCTGAAAGATTAAAAATAAACAGGGGGGAAAACAAGTCAGCGGACAGAAAGCTGTCTTAGCGTCTACACATGAACCGTGGCTTGCTCTGTGGTGTCCCAGAGGACCTGCGGGAGTTACAGGGACCTTGGCATCTGCATCAGACCTTCGTGACTGGCGGCCATATTAACATGTATGCCATGCTTTCCAGTTGATGGGATGAAAACTGAGACCTGAGCCTTGGTCAGCCACCCTGCCGACCGCGGATCTCCTTTTCTTGGCCTCTGTGTAAAGCTGCGGTTCTCAACCTGTGGGTCGCGACCTCTTTGGGGATCGAACGACCCTTTCACAGGGGTCGCCTAAGACCATCGCAAAACACATATATAATTACATATTGTTTTTGTGATGAATCACTATGCTTTAGTTATGTTCAGTTTGTAACAATGAAAATACATCCTTCATATCATATATTTACATTACAATTCATAACAGTAGCAAAATGACAGTTATGAAGTAGCAACGAAAACAATTTTATGGTTGAGGGGTCACCACAACATGAGGGACTGTAATAAAGGGTTGCAGCATTAAGAAGGTTGAGAGCCACTGGTGTAAAGGGTGTGGCTCCTTGCTGAGGTTGACTCTCTCTGTGGCGGGCCACTGGGCAGACGTGGGAAGGAAGCAGGGAAAACACATGGAAAGATTTCCAGGGGGGAATCCTGAGGGCAGTATCCGCAGACACAGTAAGGACTAAAGGACACCAGCATGCAGGAGAATTTAAAAGGCACAGTCAGAACCAGGAGCCAGAATGCACACCAGGTTGTTTCCTGTGAGCATTTAAAGTGGATGTGAAACACAAATGTGTTTGAGCATTTTAGCTTTCCATCTCATCATGTGTTGTTGTTTTCTTCTCATTTTCAGAAAACGGTTCACGTTGCCAAAGCCTCTACTTATAATCCCTGCAGGTACGTTATGTTTTAGAGCAAAGATAGGAAAACACACTTTGGTGACATATTCCTAAGCAGTAGCCAGACTGTGTGACACCCTAGGAATTCTGAAGGATGAATTTCTCAAGGTATGTTCCTGAGAGAGAAAGGGATAGAAAGACCATTCTGTGCCTTCAACAACTTTGGAAACAAAGGAAAACTCCTTTTCAAAGAGGCAAATATATTGGATTTATATAGAAAGTAGCACTGGGTTGCCACAGAGAAATCAGGACCAAGGAAATAAATTATTAGCAGATGAGAAGGATGCTTTGTGTTGTGTGGTTCAAAATCGCCCTCTGCTTGGCACACTAAATGTGTCTCAGAAATAACTGTTGATGGAGAAATAGAGTGAGAGAAGCTTGGGTGGTATCCAAGATAGTGCCAGAGAGAAGGGACATGATGGAAAGGAAAGGGGGACGGAGGGAGAAGGAAGGGAAGGGAGGGAAGAAAACAAAAACCTGAGAAAGGACACTGGAGGCCTCCCAGATGATGCCAATGTTTTCCTGAGTTACACAAAAAAAACAAAATGACTCAGCGTGTTTGCTCAGAAAGAACATACCAGTAAAGGTCCAGGGTTTGATGCAGTTGATCATCGTTATACAGATGTTCTGTGACTGGGCTGGTTCATGGGTTTTCTCCAGAAGGTCCCAGATATCGATGTACCCATCTTCTCGGCCAATATAGAAGACGCCGGGCCTAGTCAGGGACCAGTGCCCAGAGGTGTACCTTTTTGGAGCACAGCATGACTGAAGGAGGGGTCCGAACTTGAAGCAAATTTTTAAAAAGACACATTAAAAGCTTGTGTTATTATCGAAGGGATATTCACAAGGATTTTAAGTGCAAGTCAGATTGCTGTGATCACATAACAGCCAAATTATGCCTATTCGGGAGTTTTATTTCTTTCACTTGTAGGATTTTTATATAATGCCAGTTCTTTTCTCCCCTGCATGTTTTTATAACACCTTTTTCTTCTTATTTTATTTGCCTTTTAGAAAAGAGCAAACTTTCCTATCAAGCCGTTGTTGGTTTTAATAAATCCAATGGCTATGGAAGTCCATTGCTATTTCTCTGGAGATTGATCAGATAAGTAAAGATTATGAAATTGGCTTATACCTCCTTCCCACGGGAACAACTCTGGTAGCCAAAAAAAAGCAAATAAAAAGTCAGTTCTAGCTGTGAGCTGCATGCAATGACTTATAACTACTATTGGGAAGAGATTTTACACCAGCAAAGCATCCTAAGGTTGTCTTGTCTTTTCTCCACCATGGGGCAATTTGCCTTCTTTGGGAGGTTTTCATAGAGATAGAAGATCAGGACGTGTGTTCTTCCCACTGGCATGCTCCACCTGGCCACCAGGTAGATCACTTATCTATTTACACCTGCAGACGAACTGCCTCAGGCCTCCAACACATGCATAGGGGCCTTTCCCGTGGGGATGGGAGGGTGTCTCAGAGGCAAGGACTCCTTAGACGTGACACTCCAGACCTGTCCTCGGCCCAGATCCTTCCGTTTCTGTGGATAACCAGGTTCCTGCCCCTGCATAGTCCGTGGATAATCTTGCCTATAAAACTCTTGTTCATTGTAAAAAAAAAAAAAAAAAAAAGAGAGAGAGAGAGAGAGAACATATAGAGTACATTGGTATAAAGTAGAGCTCTTCTGTGGATAGGTACTTAAGTAGTTTCCAATCTTTTCAATGGAAAACTTGTACATATAGTCATGCCTTTTTTTTTTGAGATTTGTGTTATAGTCCAAGAAGTGAAAGTGTTGGGTTAAGGAAAAAAATATGAATAAAATTTTATATGTATAAATATATATTACACATATTATTTATTCAAAGAATGTATACAGTACAGCTGTGAAATAGATATATTGTATATTTTAATAATCTTAAATTGCTCACCAAATGGACATATCATAATGATTTCTCCACACACTTATTTCACTGGTCTTTCTCAATCTTTCTAGTTCTTGGCAGTTTAGCTTCCATCAGTCTGGATTCAGGCCCTCTCTTAATCCTCTCCTAATCCTGACCACTAGATTTTCTTGTCGCTGTGTCACTTTGACCTTACACACTTCTGGTCTTCCTGGTGACAGACACTTCAGCTTTTTTACTCCCACTTTCTGAAACTGCTGACATATTTCTGGGGCAGAAGAAAAGATTACAGACTTGGAGACAAAACAACAACAACAAACAAACAAAACAACAACAACAACAATAAAGCCAAGAGCTGGTTCTTTGAAAGGATAAACACGATTGATGAACCTCTAGCCAGGCTCACCAAGAAGTAAGGAGAGAGACCTCAAATAAACAAAATCAGAAATGAAAGAAGTGAAATAACAATAGAACAGACCCCATAGAAATACAAAGGATTATAAAAAAAAATACTACGAACACCTCTATTCCAAAAAACTGGTCAACCTAGAAGAAATGGACATATTCCTAGAAAAATATGACCTTCCAAAACTCAATCAGGAAGAATAAAAAAAATCTGAATAGGCCAATAACTATGGAGGAAATTGAAGTTGTCATCAAAAACTTCCAGCAAACAAAAGTCCTGGGTCAGAAGGCTTCACAGGAAAGTTTTACCAAACATTCAAAGAAGAACTAAAACCTATCCTCCTCAGACTATTCCAAAAAATTCAAGAGGAAGGCACACTTCCTAGCTCTTTCTATGAAGCCAGCATTACCCTAATCCCAAAACTAGATAAAGACACTACAAGGAAAGAATTACAGGTCAATATCCCTGATGAACATAGATGCTAAAATCTTCAACAAAATCCTAGCAAACTGGATCCAGCATTACATTAGAAAAATCATATACACCATGACCAAGTGGGATTTATTCCAGGGATGCAATGCCGG